GCAAAAATTATTTCCTAAGCTAATTCATAGCCATATGCATCCTGCCTTTTAATAGCAATATGCATCTTGCTTTTTAATAGAAACCAGACTAAAGAGAAGTGTTTTTAAAGTGCAGGCATGTTGGACTACATTCTTAAGATTTGGATAAAGATTTCTCAGGATGCTAAAATGCGTTTGATTCCAAATCTTTTATTTCCGGTTCACAAAACATTTTGTGACTTCCTAGGGTGTATATGTTAGTTGACTTGTAGCTCAGCACATTCTGGCTTTGGAAAAAGGTAAAACAAAACAGTAACGAAGAAGACCCTTACATAAACAAGCTTCAGGAAATATTAAGAATCGCATTTGGGAAAGCATCAACCCAAGCATTTCTACATCCTCAGCTTGCTTTGCTCTAAACTGAAGACTCTCATTCTGTTTCCTGATACTCTCTCCCATGACTGGGTTAGATCTCCTGTCACACAAGCTCTGTTTCAGGTAGGAAGCAAAAAGAAAAAGGAAAGTAAAAGAACAGCCGTACCTGTGCATTTAAAATGTGACTTTCACCCACCCCCTGCCATATTGCTACAGAAATGTTGTGTTTATTTATATATAAATAAATACCCTTTTTTATCACTGCAACTTGTAAATAGGAAATGAAGTCACAATCCTCAAAATTATAATGGCAGGCACACAAAGACACAGTTACTAGCACGGAATTCAATTAACAGATAGCAATCACCCTTGGGTGACTGTGTGAGGTGGAAATATACAGGCATGCTAATAACTAATATCTTAAAGCCAAGGCGTTTATCAGCCAGCAGCCAGACACGGGCATAAGTGTGGGCAGGCAGCGGTGCTCTGGGATATTTAATAAAACCTGCTCTCTTCATCTGAGGATTTGTGTTTAATCATTTGGTAACATTTTAGAAACATCCAGGCTGGGAAGCTTCTCAAATGGAACTGCTTAGGTCAGAAAATGTAGAGAGTTATTTACTGATACTAAAACAGCTAAAGGAACAGAGTGGATTCTAGGTAATAACAAAATTCTTTGTTGCCATCTTTTTGACCTTTTGAGTTTCTGGGGTATGCCTGCTACGTGAATTACAGTCTTATCTGGGGAAACATGCAGAAGGTGTTCATTAGTACTGCAAAAGCAAATGATTGAGCTGCTGTTTAAAACAAATTTTTTAACTCTTTTTTTGCTTGGCTGAAAGCCTAAAGCTAAAATAGTTTTCTTCTAGGCTGCTTGAACTTTAATTTGCATTGCATTTTGGGCTTTCAAAGGCTTCAGGCAGGCCAAGATTTGTCATCCTCTGAAAGATATTCCATTTAAACTTCCTCATCAGGTCTCTCTTTGTGCCACAGCATCCAGGTGAATTCGCAGGGCTGTTTTGCATGGTTAAATATCACTGCTTGGAGGAAACGCAAACTCAGAAGCCAAGTCATGGGTTTCTTTAAAGGAAGGCAGTTCGATTTAGTAAGATGCTTGTTAAGAGCTTCATGCAGAAGAAATGTGTTAGTACATTCTTGGGTAACTCTCTAGGGTTAAAACTTCCATCAAATGAAAGCAGTTTGGAGCAGGGCAAATGGAGGACAGCCAGCCTAGTCCTGGGACATACAGGAAGCAGCATATGTCAGCCATTACCAAGGCAGGATGGAAGCTTTTGGCTATGAAGCCCATGGTGTTGCCGATAGATGCTCTCACTGCTTTCAGCTTTGCCTCTGTTCTAAGTAAGCAGTCATGCCTTTTGTGCTCGTCAGCTCTGCCCCTACAACTGGGCTGGTGGCAGCAGGAGGTATTCAGTGCTTCAGAGCACCCCTCTGAGCATGCTGCACATTGTCCCCCTCATTGGCGTGGCTGTCTACTTTGCTTTGGTTCAAACATTTCTGATGTCCATGTGGGCTCTGGTGCTTACCAATAGGTGCTCACCAACATAGCAACTAAAGCAGTGGGGGTGATTGTCCAGCTGGCAGAGTCTTACTAATTTTGGTTTGCCAAGGGAATCAGCAAAGGCAAAGGTGAGCTGAATCAAACGCTAAAGATGGACTGTGGACATGCTACAGGGAACCTCTAGCAGGTACTCTCAGTACCTGTTTCTTTACCCTGGGGTATTCATGTGATCTACAAATGAGTGGCCAAAGCCGCCTCCCAGCGATTTTCCACACTGCTGGCATTCAGCCCAGCCTGGGCTGTGCTCAGGAAGCTGTAAAGTGGCTCTGAATAGCTGCTGTGAAGCCATCCCTGCATTACTCCTGTCACAAAGAGTTTTCAGTGCCCTCCTCGCTAATGGATGAGTTTCTCTTATACAGAGTGCCGAACAATGTGGTGATACATTCAGGTTTTATTAGTGTGAGTTTAGCATGGCCGCATTATTCATAATGGAAACAGCACAAGAGAACTGCATTGTTCATCCCAAACCATAAATCCTGTAAACCACGCAGCGCTGTCGGATGGTGTGTTTTCACCACTTATTTTGCAGGAAAGCTATTTGTATTCCTTCCGTATGTAAACCCAAGCTGTCTTAATATTGCAAGCCCAAACTGTGTTGGTGGAGGTAATAACAACAAAAAATTACAACCAGTACATTTTAGGAAACTCAGTCATAACTCTGTGATACCAAGGCTCAGTACCCGCTGCCAAGTGAGAGGGGAGCGATGCTGTGGTAGGGCGGCATGGGGCTGAGCCCCTGTGTACTGCTGGAGGGGGGGCTCAGCCTGTACCCACCTGAGAGCTATGAGAGTGGAGCCTTGTGGTTACTTGAGGTCTGAACATTGATTGCTGTGAAGTGTGAAAGTGTGGGTCTGCATGTATATGGGACAAGGAGGTACTTTGTGCTTCTGCTTGCTTGGTTTCCTTTTACAGAGAGCAGCTGCAATAATGGGACATGTGAAGTATTCTCAGTGGAGATACATCAGTGGGCAGAGCATAGGTAAGTTGGTCAAAAGTTCAAAACAATTGTAATTTACTGTGAGGAAGACATAGCACCTGCCTGACATAAACCAGGCTTTGCAGGCGACAGGAAGCAGTTCCAGCTATACACCAATTTGCTGCCATACTTTCCTATGGAGACTGCCACCCAAGAAGCCATCCTGAGTTTGCAGTGAGAGCAAGCAGCTGCTCAGGAAGAACTGGGCTGAAGCAACTGATTTCCTTCACCTAGGTATCAGGTGACTGCTAGAGAGGTGAAGCTGACTTTTGTGTGCTTCTGCACTCAACCTAGTGACCCAGAAGTGAAGGGCTACACAAGCTATTACCAGTCTTTTCATCTACCACCTCTTGCCAGACTCCTGACCCTGCTCCAGCAGCTTTTGCAGGGCCTGGAAGCCAGGCAGTGGCTGCCCCCACACCACCCACAGCCAGAGCACTCTTTCTGTGGTACCACACAGCACCCAGTAAAGGAAATGTTCATTAAAAGAGCTGTGAACACTCTAGATGGTGTTACTACCTGACCCAATGGCTCAGGGGAATTGCAGAGTGGACTCTTGCTACTTCTGCAGGAAACACTGCCTGAGCTTGTGGAGAACCTCCTGTTCTCTCTTGCATCTGACCCTTTTGGGTGCAACCGTTACAACAATTAACCCTGAGCTGAGAGAGGAACCTCTGATTTTCCAAGCCTTATGTGTGAAGCAAGCTCTCTGCATTCCTCCAGGTACTTCGTTCACTGTTGGTATTAACACTGGAAATGCTGACAGCAGCTACTAAAGGTTCAGTGTGTTTGTAGAAAATCAATGGCGTGATGCGCCCTTCTCCCTCTCCTCTCAGTGTTTCAGGGAGAAAATGCCCCCTGGATAGACGCAGAGTATAAGTTAACATTTCTCTCAGAACACGTGCACTTATGCAAAAGGCTGAAAGGATATCTTTTTACTATCCTAGTACAGTGCTGCTCCTCTTCATTCACTGCTTGGAAGAGTGTCTGAGGCTTCTGCAGCATTGGTTATTATGCAGGGCATGTGTTTTAAAACGTTAAGTACCTTGATTGTCTCTCTCATAGCTAGTGCTGTCAGCAGTTTACACAGAGCTTTTATGTGTCTTTTTCCTCCCTGAGATACCTGTGTTCAGTTCAGAACTGATTCTGCTTCTAAAGCAATTCATTAAACATCTTCAGTGTTCCACTTCTGTGAAGAGGTCAATTTGTTTTTTCTGCCTAGAGATGCAAAACTCTGAGCTTCAGTTGTAAATGCAAGTACTAGATGCATTTCTTGCTGTTTTACTTGTGCTTCCCTCCAATCTATCCTCTCTAGTGATCTCTTCCTTTAACACAGGCATTTATTATTCATGAAATGTGGAGACTGATGCTACTGTATCAGTCTAGGGCAGGTGCAGTTGGGTAGCCTGGCGTGCACACACTGCTTCATTCACCCTCTTCCAGAGGAGACATTTTTTAAAGGAGAGAAAGTAGCTGTTTCTTTCTCCTGTGTTCCTTTGTCCTCCTCACAAGTTACCAGCATGGTGGTGGGCTGGTACGCGCTGGTACGTGATAAGGTTCCTGGAGCACCACTGGCCCGAAGGTGATTCCTATTGCAGTTCATGCACAGGCTGCTGAATACCTGTTGGGAGTCTCTGGCTTTTGGTCCTCTCTGAGGTGGCTTCTCTGGTAGTTAAAAATGGGACTCCAGGAATGAGTCGTGCCCCCAAAACCTATTTGATAAGGTTTTTTTTCCTGCTGTACTACTTGAAAAGTGGATTCATGCATAAGTCTTCAGGTAGTTGTTACCTGTAAATCTCCACCCTCCTAGGTCCAAATGCCTCTCTGTCAAATACGATAGTTGTTGTTGGGCATTGTTACATTTGTTTTGTTTGGGTTTGTTTGTTTTAACCCACTTATTTCTAATATGTAAAATGATCTGGTTCATATCTGCACATACCAGTTATAATAGGCTTATTATTAAAACACAGGTTTTAGGATGAAGGTAGACCAAAAGTAAACCTTGCCTTGACCTTGTGAGGTTCCTAGGTAAACAGGGTTTTTCACTTTCTTCCATAAGTCTTACCATTCACTTTTATTTTACTGTAGCAGCTAGGAATATGGCTCAGGGTGTTTGGCTAGCTCACCAGTTCTGGAGGGAGTATGTTTGCTGACATAAAAATTGGTAGGTCTTCTTAAAGTTATCCTTAGGTCTTTGGTAAATATTTAGTGCCTAGGTCTGGAACAGTGGATCAGGAAGTAAATGGGACCATTTATACTGGAATATCAGACATATGAATTAACCTGTTATCCAAAGACAAGTATGGGCATATGGGATTATTTTCTCTTAACAGTGATTTCGTTGGTTAAATTCTTATTTTACTTATTGCAGTACTTATAGCTTTTTTTTTTTTTTTTTTTTTGCAAGTCTTTTCTGTAATGTAAGTGATTTAATATGATTTTCTGGGCTGTATTTTGCATACGATATGGTTTCTGTTTGGAAAACTGGTTTCTTTTTTTTTCTTTTCAATTTTTTAAAGGCAAAATCAGGCTGGTTATTTAAGAAGCAAAACTGATTGCAAAAAGTAGCTGGAGAGCATAAATCAGTGGGGTCTTCAGGAGCAACAGACTCTCAGAACTAGCAGCTTGTGAAAACTTTGCAATTATATTCCTCCCAATATAATAGTATTTTCTTTCTTTCTTTCTTTTATTGTAGGAAGGATCTTCAGAAATGTGTACTCAAATCACTAAAAATGTCCAGTTCTCAAGGACACTGATCAACTCATTATTCTTTGTTTTGATTCACATGAAATATTTTCAGCCTGTGGTTCATTTCCAAAAAACAAAACCAAAAAAGCTTTAACAGTAAGTGATGCCTCACATCTCCTGTTGGAAAGGATTTGAAAAGCTCGTAAAATGTCTCCAGCTCATACAATATATCACGTCATATTAATTTATGGTAGTCAATGAACAGTAGGAAATGGTGGAGGAGAGAGATGGAGAGCCTGCAATATTCTGCTTTATTCAGAACTGTATATCTGAGGGCTTTTTTTTTTTTCCTTTACACGCAACTCAGGCACAGCATCTCCTCTTCCTTGCTTCAGGAAAAAAAAAAGAGAAAGAAAAAAATCCTCATATTTGTATTATATTATGTTCTCTAAGTCACAAATTCCCTCTGCCAACTATCTGTGGGTGTACAGCCCTTCCTCGGGAACATGCTGTATCTTCTGAGTTCCTGTGTTTGCGATATCACAGTGCTTTTGCTCTGCAAAGCCATGAATGGGGCCATTATGAGGGGCTGCTAGATAATTAAGATTCTGAGAGGGGCAGACTGCTAAAAGCGTGTTTAGTGAGGAAATTACAAGGCCAATAAAAAAAAAAAAGTCTTTGCAAGTTCCGATTGTATTCTTTTCTTCTGTGGGTCTAATTTTTCAAGGTCTGGCTGGATCATGTTGAGGTTTCCTTTCATCCCTTTTTTTTCTTTCCACAACAGGAGCTGAGGCTGGAATCTAAGTCCAAGTTAATGAAGCTGCCTCAAAGTTGAGGAGGCAGAGAATAAACCACAGCTCTGAGGCACAGACCACTGGAGAATCCTCTTTCAAACCGTGCCTCTGCTGCTCACTGGAGTTATTTGATTTGGGAACAAGATAAGAATTCACAATATCTGATTTGTAGAAATAACCTGGAGGAAGGAGAAACAGTCAAAAATACTAATTTCAGATAGAATTTTTGTCTCTCAGTTTCCTAATACTCTTTCTCAGCATTAATAGCATTAACCAAATATAAAGCTCAGACTTGGAGGAAGTTGTGCACCGACTAACAAATGCATCTCCAAATAGCCCACAGTTCAGCACTTCTTATTCTGTCAATACTCTGTGACCAGGGAAGGTTTGGAGCATAATTCTCTCCTACTTATTCATCTTCTCACTTTCTTTTTATTTTTTCTTCCCTGATAAGAGATACACCTGGCAATTCATTGCTGATTTCCCTGGAGTGTTATTCATGCCACTTTATTTATGTATTTATTATTCAAGTGCAAACTACTGAAGTTCCTTGTGGTAACCTGCAAATCAGGTTTTATGGCTCTGCCCATCACACCAAGTGCTGTAGAGCCAAATACAGGCACTGCAGTTGCTATTACCCCAGAGTGAGGGGCTGTGAGCCTGCCTGATGCTCAGGACTGCCCAGGCCTTGACTAGCTTTGGGAGAGAAAAGTAGTCAGCAACCTTAAATTAAGAAAAGTATCTGCTATAAATGCCCAACTGTGGCAGTGGAATAGCTTGTCCTCTCTTCAATGTTGGTAATGTATCATTGACAGGCAATGGGCGTGCATTTATGGCTGACTCCTTCACATGCTCAGACTTCAGGCTTCAGATTTGAAGTCAGAGTGGTCTGTGAGACCACAGTTGATTGAAGTCAGAGTGGTCTGTGAGAAGGCAAGGCCACTGTGCCATTTATCCATTATCCTTCTTCCCTCCAGGGGTGGTGATGCAGCCAGGTATTTCAGTGCCTCTCTTGATGTTGAGCCCCTACAGCCAAGGAGGATCAGGAGGCAGTGTCTCTCAACACTGGACAACTCAAGGAAGGTTTGTGGGGTGGGTATGTGTCCTGCAGGTAATGGCTTGGGGGAAACCACGCTTCCCAAGCCAGACACATGGTGGGTATTGCCTATGGTGACCATAGCTGTGCTCTTTCTCTGAAACACAAGACATCCTTCCCTCTTCAGAGGTTCGGATGCACGTGCCGCCTGTTCTCACACGCTCAGAATTTGGGCTTCAAGTTTTATGTTGATTATAGTTATTTATTAAGATTGCATTTTAATGATTTTCCCTGGCATTTTGCACTGCATGCATTCACAAGGATTTAATTGTCTTCAACAGGCCATTTGATGCAACTGTGTTTCAGCTTGTTAGTGTAATAATTTATTGTGTTAAAGTGTCAGAACTGCAACTTGGAGAAACCTAAAGTAAGGCTGATAAGAAAGGGACAAAGTCAACTTGGAATGTGGTCAATTGTGAAATCAAACTGTCTCAATTATAGCCCTTGTTTCTATGCTCCCTTCTTCCTATTGTTACCTTTTTCACAAATATTTCTGAAGATTTATGCACATCCATGTTACACATTCCTTTGTTACTCTGAAAAACCTACACAAATGAGATTCATTGATTACACAGAGGAAGAAATGAAATTCCTGTCAAATGCTTTAAAAAACTGAATCAAAAGAGTTGTCATTTTTCTTTATTGATTTATTATTGTTCCTTTCACAACAAAGGATTAAAAGGTAATTTTGATATCGCTGTGTTCCTTTGCATGATGTATTGGTTTCCATATGGTAAGAATCTCAGTGAGAATATGCTGATTTACGGTAGCAGAAGTCCTAGTTGCTTATTTGAATGCCATCTTGCTGTGTTATCTTACAGATAACATAGCGACATTATTTATAGAGACATAATGTTCCTGTGTTTTTCATGTGACCTTGTCTCATCTGCAAAGCTCAAATTTCATTGCCATTCCAGGAAAAGTTACTGGTGAGAAAAGTTTGAACTTTAAATGGATTTTCAATTTTGAATAGGACCCGTTTTTTTATGCATTGAAAACCAGGCTTAGATCCAAACACTTCTGAAACTTCAGATTCAAATTTGGATCTAGACTGAATCGTGCAACTTAAATCTATTTCTGATATAGGGATAATTCAGTGTGCAGAGTGTACATGAGCATGCAGATGTGTGCATGCACACATATAGACACAACACATGTGTATTGATGCATAACCCCACAAATGCATTCTTCAGGGTTGTGTTTGTAAATAATAAGTGATTTATTTATCTTCCAGTAGGATTCCATCAGTGTTGACTATATTTCCTAAAAAAGAATTCAAATTTGAAAAGTTTTAAAATAATTCTTGAGTAGCTAAAGAAGTCACTGATGAAAAGAACCCAAAAGAATCAATTGTGGGTTTTTTTTAAAATACCTTTTATTGCCCATATGCTAGATTTTAGACATGTCTAAATTACTTTTACATAAGTAAGGTATTTTTAAATGTTTAGTAGTTCCTTACCATTGTTCTGTACCAATATCAGTATAAAGCTTTGGTTTGAAGAGAACCATAATAAAAAGGAGGACTCTTTTTATGTAGCTAATGCAAGGTAAATGATTCAAATGTTGGAAATGTAAAGCAGTGATTGGCAGGAGGCGGAAAAGCAGGTTGTGTGGAATACGTAGGGAATCAAAACATGGAAATGAAGTAGACATAAAAACATTCTGGTTATTTTGGAGAAAAATCACTGTCTGATATTTGGTTTTGCAGAAACAAAGACAGGGTGGCCTGGATTTGAGTCCTGTTTTACCAGCAAATCCAGTGTTCAGGATCGTTTGCATAACCAATTCCAGCTTTGGCTCACGTCTGTTCTGAATACGCAGTTTGGGTATTTTTCAGTTCCCTGTGGGCTGGCAGAGAAAAAGATACGTAGCACAGAGGACTGAAGGAGGTGATTTGTTTAACTTCTGCTAGCTTGTATGGATCTCTGTCCCTGAGGGCAGCAATGTTCAGCCACCCTCATTCCCAATACTGACTGGTGTACTAGGCAGAAAGTACTGCTGTCACAGGGGGAAGATGCTCAGTGCTTAGTGCTTTGACCGTCTATTTATAAAGGTTTTAAATAACTTAGGAGCATATTAGAGCTGTCTCCTAAAAGCAGGGAAAGCTCTGAAAATGGTGCAGGTTCCAGCTTGGCAAGGTAGGGCTCCAGCTGACACAGGAAAAACAAGGAAAGCAGCCAAGTGTTATATGCCTCCCCAAACCCTCATCTATAAGCTGGTGCTAAATGTCTGCTGTACTACAGACTTTTCTTATGAGAACACCCAAATGTATAGTTAGCACCCCAAACCACAGGAGCTGACTTTTATCAGCAGGTTTGTGGCCTTAGGGGGCTTGGAGGTTGGTTTGTTTGTGTGTTTGGTTGGTTTGTTGTTATTTTCTCCATCTGGATGTGACTTCAGAGCAGGACACAAGCCTTAAAAATGGAGAAGAGCAACCTTCAGCTGCATTTTCTCTCTCACCCGTGGACATACTCAAGTTTAATTAAAAAATGGCTGTGCTGATATTTGGTTAATGCTGGCACTCCAAAGACCCACTCAAGGTTGCATCCCCCTGGTGCAAAGTGCTCTGCAAATACAAGGTGCAAGGCAGCCCCTGCCCCCAGGTATTTGCCTTCTCTGTTCATAAACTGTACGGAGGGAGGATATCATGGCTGAGGCAAGGCAAGGGGGTAACAAGCAGCTGAATGCAGAGCCCAGTTCTCTCTGTCCCGGTTCCTTGTACTGCAAGCTTTTCTCTGGATTGCTTTCAGTTTTCCCACAGCAGCGCTCTGTTGCACTTACTGGGATTAGGTCCCCATTGCACTTAATGCTTCCTGAGCACAGAGGAGGAAGCAAACCCAGTCATGAAAAGCTCAGCAGTTGTAGCTGCTTAATTAATGGGGTTATTTTAAATCCAGTCAGTTAAATTGCTGCGGACACCCTTTATTATAGCCTAGGCAATTTTATTTCAAGTTAGCTTTAATCAATTAGGAATTGATTTTAGCTAAGTCAGTATAAGAACATCTGATCTGGTTTAACAAAATTGGTTTTCGAGAAGTGAAATGGGTGCAGATTCAGCGCAGGCCCAAGGAAGGCTTTCTGATTTTGCCTGCTGATGATGAGGTAGAGGATGTCCTAGTAAAATCCCAGATCCTACATAGCTGCAGCTGACCTTATCCCTGTCTTAAGTCCTGGTGAAATAAAGTGTATATAAAGGGAGATAAGAGGATTTACCAGAATGAAGGACTGTCCTCACAGCAATTTGTGCATATATGCACAATCACACCCTCACCCTGACTGCACTGGTCAGATGAGGAGATTTGGGAGCTGCTAGGGAAGTGCATGCTAAGAGCTTCCTAATTGCCCTGTCTAGGCTGTGGCTCCCAAGGCAGGTGAGGCACCAAAACATCTTGCTCTTACTCCACCTGTTTTTAATGCACTAATTTTCTGCCAGGTTAGTGTTTTAAAGAGGTCTGCAAAGATGACTGAGCTGGAGGTATGGTATGGGAAATGGTTGGAGAGTTTGGCTGGGAGCAGTAGGAGGAGAGGGAAGCAGGAGCTCCGCTTTTTGGCAGAGGTGAGTAAGGCACTATATTTTGAAAATGGAAATGCCAGGAGAACTGAGAATTATCACTGGACAATTTTAAGATGTGACTGATTTCTAATGCTCTCTCACCTTCAGGAGTATGAAACATTTGTAGGGTTACACTATTCTTTTGAGGCTTTTTTTTTTCCCTGAAAGATTATTCTGATATTTTAAGCATACTGTAAAATTGGTACTAGTTTAAAAAGAACCCTCATCCTGTTATCTTCAATTTGCTGTTGTTTCTATTATGATTGTTATGAATTTTCATATGTGAACTGTCTATTGCTGAATGTTGAAATCTAGCTTCTGCTTCCATAAATGGTAAGAACAAACCTACTGCAATTAAGGACCTGCTACTTCTAGTATTATCTGAAGAAAAAAAGTAAGATTTCTACCTAGGACTTGTTTACTTTGTGCCAGAGCTGTTCCCACGCTTGATTCCTTCTGTAGGTACAAGTGGTGTTAATGAGGTGTTAATGTGTATGTAGGCAATGCAGTCATAGATTTGCCTTTGATCAGTCGGTGTTAGTTCCTTCCCCCCCCCCCCCCTTTTTTTTTT